GAATTTGGTGAAGTATGAATCAGAGCAGGAGATCTGGAGCAACTGAGGAATGTCACAGAAGAATTGATTGATGACTCTGGAACAGAACTCCATTGTGAATAAATTTCCAGTATAGAGAGCAGAGTAGAAAAGGCCACCCACCCATGCATTGGTTGCCATTTGGACACAGACTTTTTTGTTCATTGCTATCTCATAATGTAGTGGATTGCAGATGGCTACATAACGATCATATGCCATGACACCAAGGAGGAGGAGATGAGACGTTACAAAGAAAACAAAGAAGAAAATTTGACAGAGACACCCAGAGTAAGAAATAGTTTCAGTGTTCATCAAAGAATTCAATAGTGATTTAGGAACTGTGACAGAGATGGAACCAAGATCTTGGAAAGATAGGTTGGCTAGAAAAAAATACATGGGTGAGTGAAGTTGATGACTGTGAAGAATGACAGTGATAATAATGAGATTCTCAGTGAGTGCTACCAAATAAATTACTAAAAAAGTGATGATATGAACTATTCTTAGCTCCTCAGTGTCAGGGAATCCATGCAGAAGGAATTCACTGAATCTTGATTGATTTTCCATAGTGCTATTTTCTCTTGCAGTCTGTGAAAAAAACTGAAAGATCAGACTCCTTTTCAATGCAGCAGGATTCACAATGGGCTGGAACACTTTGAATATCATTTTCTCAGACCTGGTAGTACTAGAGAGATGGGAACAATTTTCATCCGTGGAAAGTCTGTAGCTATTCCCAAGGAGTTCATTTCTCAGTTGATCAGTACTGACTGAAATTATGCATTTGACAATGGAGTTCAAACTTTACATTGACTTTAGTCTAAACAACAGCTATTAAAATAGCCTTCAAATTGTATTAATTGGGTCACAAGAGATTTTGTTTTGTTTAGTCCATTTTTATTTTTTTTTACCAAAACACATATTAACTATGCAATTTTTGTGACAAATAGTTGCATGAGAAGGAACTTGTAGTTTTGTTTGATTTTAACCCAAAGGACAGGCTCTATAATGACTTTCAGATTGCCATAATTATAGTACAAGGTGATTTCTATCACTTTATATTGGTTCAAAAATAAATGTCTGTGAAAACTCGATTTGAGGGAAGGGGGAGAAACAAAGGGGGCCCATGAGGAGTTGAAGTAGGGACAGTGAAGTAGCCTTGACAAAGAAACTACATTTTTTTTTAAACCAAGAGTTTTCAAATAAACCTTTGGGTAGCACCCATGAAATTTTGGCAGACCTTATAAAAGTGAAGTACTTGTTAATTTAGTTATATTTTTTATTAACAGTACTCTAGTTTTGTACAACTTTTTTATAATATTTTATTAATTTTCCAATTTTACATTTAAGTGTTTAAAAAGCAACATGGTGGCTGGGTTAATCAAGAGTTCAATAACAAAATATTTAGTACAAATCTCAAGTTATAACATCAAATTTTTTCTTCTCTTTTTCCCTTAAGGTTTTCTGTCTCATATTTAAGTTAATACAGTTCTTATTATATCAACTCAGTAAAAACATCATTATTACATTTGTCAATAAATTTTAGCTTATACATATCTTAATAATTTTGTACATTCAATCATCATAAACAATCCATATCCTGTTATTATTTTTCCCCAATTTTTAGTTTCCCATCAATATTCCAAGTTAACCTTTAATATTTATAATTTTCAGGCTTTAGGTAACCAAGAATTCCCTTATCTCAATTCATAACAGAATCTAATATCCAAAATACACATTTTATCTATTTGAATATAATCTTGTTCTATTTCCTAAAATTTATCTATTTCCCACCATATTAAATCATCTATTTAGTAATACAATATCCCCTTTAAGAAATCAAAACCATTATATATATTACCTGGGTTAATCAATAAATCAAACATATTCATAATATTTAGGTCTAATTTTTAAATATTAAACAGATAAAATCCTTATTTTCATCTAATTTCTAAATATTTTAAATCTAATGACCAGAATTCCCCTTATCTCCACTTCTCCCTTTAACCCTCTAATTAATAATATGAAATCCCCTCTAATAAATCAAAACTCCAATTTTCTTCAGCCTTATTCTGGCTTTCTTCCTTTGCCAACTAGGCTTCCATATCAGTGCTTTTAGATTGTCTATTAGATCTCCCTCTATTATTATATATGTTATTTGAAATAAAGGAGACCATTTAATTGCCATTTGTATTCATTAAGGTGTCTCCCTATTATTCCAATTTCCCAAGATTGGCCTAATATGTTTATCTTCCATTCAATCTATTCTTCTTCTTTCTCAAATTTCTTCTGATTTATATAGAAAGTCTTTTCCATTTTCAGTGTTGTCACTCCCTTTTCTGGATTTTCCATTAACTGTATTTGTTGGTCAATTGAGTCCTCTGTCTTAATATTTGATTGTTCCACTTCTTCTGTTATCTTCTGCGTTGTTAGTTCTTTGGTTGTAATCAAAGTTTGGGTTTGTGTATCTAAGCTGGTGTCTTGATCTTTTATGTTAGGTCTTATTTTATCACAAGCTGAAAGAATGGTTTCATGTATTGCTTTCAACATGGAAAGGATGTTTTCCATGTCTTCATCCATCTCTTTCACGTGTTTATAAATAGTTTTTATAGTAGAAATCATTTGTCAAGCAAGATTTTATAGTCCAAGGTATTTCATCATCTCATATAGTAACCAATATTCCTCAAATAAAGAGATAAGAAGACAATTCTCCACATATAACTCTAAAGTCAGTAAAGGTTTACATTCACAGTTCAAGTAGGCCAGTTATACTGCCCAGTTGTTATCCTACAGCTGAGTTTCTCACAGGTGGTTCCAAGGTCAGAAGAGTCTTATCTAAGGTCTGGGCTTCGAGCCAAGTCTCTTTTGGGAAATAACAAGTTGTAATACCAAACTTCACCACAAGATGTCACTGATGCCATTTAAGGTTTTTTAAGTCCAAAATTTTTATAATCCTTTTTCCAATTTTATTTCTTTTTTGTAGTTAAAAGCAAAAGTCTCCAATAAAAATGGGAAAAAATTTGGTCCCCAAGTTTCAGGAACATATAAATCCAATTAGATTAAAGTTGTTATTTTAGTGCTTTAATTCCCCTGGGTAGTCAGTTGCCGCTATTCTTAGAGGGTGGGATAGAAATTCCCTTCCCTTTCTCCTCACAGGGGGAAAGATACTTCAGGCAGCTTTTACAGGAAAAGAAAGTATTTAGGGTAAAGAGAAGATCAGATCTCACCCAGTTTCATCCGCGTTGCTTTCAAAGTGCTTGGTGGTAAGTTTGACTTCGACTGTCTGCAGCCTAGTGATGGGCCATATTACTATGGCCAGTCTTTCCTCTGCCGGTTTGGAGGGCTGCCCTGGATCTAGCGGAAGGGCTGCTGCCCTCCCACGATCAAGTGGGAGTCCCCTCCTTGCTTGTTGCCCCTACAGGGCAACTTTTGACCCTTTCCAGGATCCCCCAGTGGAGTAAAACCAAACACGGAAGACGGAGCTCATCTTCCAGCGGCCGCAGCTGCTGCGATGGCGAACCTGAAGTCTGTACAACTTCTATAGCACTATTTCCAAAACAAAAATTAGATTGACTACAAAGCTAGGACATTTTATTTTTCAGGATACCATTACATCATCCCACAAAACCTTAACTCTGCATGAAGAGAACAATGAAACCCCAATAAACTGAAATGCTTTTGCTAAATTTTCACATTTGATTTTACCAAAACATTTGATTTTACCAAAAATTAGATTGACTACAAAGCTAGGACATTTTATTTTTCAGGATATCATTACATCATCCCATGAAATCATAACTCTGCATGAAACCCCAGTAAACTGAAATGCTTGTTTGTTAACAATGATGTTAACAAAATGTCTGCTTCTTCAATATGGGTAGGTATTCTGGCCTGAGAAACCATTTCTTTTGCCAGCAGCTTATTCAAACCAACAGCATTACTTTTCTGAAAATATAAGAGGATGGTGCAAAGACTTTAAGTTGCGAAGTTATCTTGTAGACATTCAGGGCAGATCCAGGTGATCTGTATTATAAATCTCAGGCACTCATAAATAGTTTAAAGCTTAAGGTGACAGCTAGATTCCTGATGGGCCATCCCCACATCAAATAAGAAGAGCATTTATTCTGAAGTCTCCACATTGTTACCAGTAGGTTTTTAAATTCAATAGAAATATCAATAATTTTTAAAACCCTTTATTGTGCAGCACTAGGATACCTGGTTTTGTTATGTAGAGATGCTTATTATGATTCCCTATTAATGACTTTTTCTTGTTATGACTTCCTCTCTCAGGAGGAAGGCCAGAAAGCAGGCTTTTTAAATCATGATTTTTTACAGAATATTTTCCCTATCACAGTATTTTACAGATACATTTCATCACTAGACTGTAGGGATTTTGAAGACCATTTAACCATTAACTCGGTTGTAATAAGGGAACAAAAACTTCAAAATGCATACTAAATATACAAGGAATAGTTATGTTTCTGTCTTTTTATTTATATATACCTGTAAGATATGGGTGGTTAACAAATCACATGAATTTCCTAAAAGTATTACAATTTACCAAATATCAATATACAGTAAGTCTTTCTTGAAGAATAATAAAAATAATAAAATAAATATTCTAAGCAGCATATTCAAACCAGCTTTAATACATTTTTATCTATTGGTTGCAGAAAAAAAATATTCAGTCTCATTCAATCACATTTCACTATCATTTCCTTAGCTCATTTTTTTTTATTTAACTATTGATGTCTTGAGGCTGAAGAGTCATATAACAGACAATTGTCATAAAACCAATTTATAACAATTTTGGGTTGATAAATACATTGAAACAGATGAGTGAAATTTTATAAATTAAATAAACTTACAAAATTAAGGCGATAAATGTCTCATAGTAAAATTTGCCTCTCTTACTTGCTCTCTGATTTCTCTTCAAATTTTTATAAATAAATAAATAAACACACTACTCATATTTTTTTAATACGAAATTACTTAAAATTAAGAAGTCTTGTAAGAACAATTTTAATCTGCTTATTTCTCATGCCATAAATCAATGGATTTAAAATGGGTGGAATAATGGAATACATTATTGTAATTATGAAATCAAGGTGTGAAGGACTGTCAGATATGGTCCTTAGGTAGGCAAAGCAGCCAGAAAATAAAAATATGGTGAGGACAATGAAGTGGGGAAGACAAGTGGAGAAGGCTTTTTCCCGTCCTTGAACAGAAGGGATTCTCAGTACAGCAGAGAAAATTTGAACATAAGTAAGAACAATGAAGAAAAAACAACCCACTACCAATGTAGCAGTAAACACCACAATTCCAATTTCAGTTACATATAAACCAGAGCAAATAATTTTAAGTAGATGTGGAATTTCACAGTAGAACTGGTTAATATTTTTAGAACAAAAAGGAGTAGTAAATGTTGCAATGGTGTGTAATGTAGTATTAAGGAAGCTGGCAACCCACACACTGCCAACCATTTTGATGCAAGCTGTCCTGTTCATGATCATTTCATATTGTAAAGGATTACAAATGGCAACATATCGATCATATGCCATAATAGTAAGGAGGGAAATACAATAGCTCAAGAAGAAGACTGATGAGAAAACTTGAGCAATGCACCCAGAATATGAAATATATCTGATATCCATAAGAGAATTGAAAATAGCTTTGGGGATAATGATTGTAGTAGAACCAATGTCTTGCATGGCTAAATTCATCAGGAAGAAGTACATAGGGCTGTGTAGGTGATGGTCAAAAACAACTGCAATAATGATGAGAAGGTTCCCTGTTACTATCATTAAATACAGTATAAGTAATAGAATTCCATATGTAGTCTGTAGCTTCCAAATCTTTGAGAATTCCAAGAGTAGAAACCCAGATGTGTCATTATCCATTTTGAATCATGATATCCCTAAAATTAAAGGAGCTGTATTAAATGTTTTCTATTAAGATAATTTTGGGAAGATGTGAAGATAAACTATTCAACTTTGAGTGAAATTACCTTAAATCCCTGCTTCTAGAACCACATTCAATCTTCTGAGTAACAGCACAGCCGCCTCACCCATCAATTGTCTTCTTTTAGTTTAATGTTCTCTATGATGTCTCTTTTATTTATTACCACCAGTGCCTTACAAAAATAATTTGAAGCTTGTCCTAGGAATATTTGTTTGTCATAGGGATGTTTTGTTTCTAATTGAAAATATTAGCAATTCCTGCCCCCCTCCCCCCCAAAATGAATGGCTCACCCTCTTTAATCATGGAGATTTCTTCTTTTTCCTATTGTTTTGTTCAACCATCAGTAAAATGTTATGTTGTGAAGGCATCACTGAGATTTTGTTTAATTTATTTTCCATTTCCCTATAGTTTATCTGTTGGCACTGTTATAAAATCATTATGGACTGAAAAGTTTTCTGTACTCTTTTAAGCATGTCCCAAGAGTCTGTATTACTTTAGCTGAGTAATTCTGCAAGATAAAAACAAAGAAAAAGAAAAACAAACTGGTGTCTAATTTGCAAAATTTAAAGAGAGAGTACTTTACAGTAGCTGAAAACTATTACACTTATTACCAGTTTTTAAGTGATGGAAATATAAAATTTCAGTTGACAGATATTTTGGAATGAAATTATTTTAATCACATAATTATATAGTACTGTGCAAAACTGTTAGGAAGTTTTGCACAGTAAATTGTAAATTAATAATACTTCCAAAAATGTAAATGTTAATAGTTTATTTTTATCAATTAACAAAATGGAAAGTAAATGAACATAAAAGAAACCCAAATCAAATCACTTGCACACTTGCATAAAGTCAGAGATTTTATAGGATTAGAGTCAGGTATATGATTAAACAGGTGCTAATGATCATCAATTTCATATTTAAATTAAAACACAGACAAGAATTGAAACAGAAACAGCTGTGTAGTAGGCTTAAAACTGGATGAGGAACAGCCATACTCTGCTACTAAGGTGAGGTTGTGGAAGATAGTGTCATGGTTCCGATAGATGAAATCCATCAAAAGAACTTCCAGGCAAAATTCTTCCTTAAAGAACATTTTATTTGGGAAACAAAGTATCGGCAGTACATAGTTGAACCCCAAAACTAAATTCCTTTACCCCAGATACAAAGTAACAAAGTACAATTCCCACCCCAAATAAACTGTCATAAATCACATTCCCCAATTAGTTAAAAGTGCAGGCTTTCTCCCCAGCTCCTCAGCCTGCCAAAGTGTTATCAGCTTGTCCTTGGGTTCCCACCGCAGCGTTATTGTTATGGCTAGCTGAGCTTTCATTCCAACCCTGCCCTGCTGCACCTGATTTCTAAAAGCAAGAAAAAGCATAGTAAAGGAGAAGAGAAAATGGCTGCATTTTCATCAGTTGTCAAAGTGGGAACATCCAATGTTAGCAGCGTTGACAGATAGTTTCGTATCAGAAGTCATACACCATGGCAAAACTAAGCATAGGAACAAGATAAAAGGTAATTATACTGCATCAGCAAGGTCTCCCCTAGGCAAAGATTTCAAAGCAGACTGGGGTTTCAAGATGTGCTGTTCAACCTCTTTTGAAGAAGCACAAAGAAATGGGCAATGTTGAGGACTGTAGACATAGTGATTAGACAAGAAAAATTAATGCAGTAGATGAAAGACACCCCATGCTTATTTCCTTTAGACATTGGAAGATGTTTAGCGGTGCCATCAGCACAGAACTGGCAGAAATCAGTGACACCTAGGTACACCTACCTACTGCCCAGAGACAAAAGTGGTCTTCATAGAAGTATTGTAGCCAAAAAACCATACCTCCAAAGTGAAAACAAGGCTAAGGAACTCAACTAGGTATGAAAACATAGGAACTGGAGTAAAAACTGTCATTAAATACAGTATAAGTAATAGAATTCCATAGTCTGTAGCTTCCAAAATTTTGAGAATTCCAAGAGTAGAAACCCAGATGTGTCATTATCCATTTTTAATTGTGATATCCCTAAAGTTAAAGGAACCCCATTAAAATTTTTCTGTTACCGGTAAGTTAATTTTGAGAAGATGTGAAGATAAACTAGTCAACTTTGAGTAACAGCACAACCACCTCACCCATCAATTGTCTAATTTTAGTTTAAAGTTCTCTCTGATGTCTCTTATATTCAATATCACTAATATCTTAGAATAATAATTTAAGAAAGGAAGGAAGGAAGGAAGGAAATAAAAAAGAAAGAAAGAAAGAAAGAAAGAAAGAAAGGAAGGAAGGGAGGGAGGGAGGAAGGAAGGAAGGAAGGAAGGAAGAAAGAAAGAAAGAAAGAAAGAAAGAAAGAAAGAAAGAAAGAAAGAAAGAAAGAAAGAAAAAGAAAGAAAGACTTGTATGTTTGATTTGGATTCTTTTATGAGATCGTATGTTCTAATTCTAAATGTTCTGCTATTTTTGACTATTATGTCAGAAAAAGAAAAGTAACTTAAAACAATTTTATTGAAAATATTAATTTTTATAAAGACAGATAGTAGAATTATAGCATGCCAGTTTTTTTTGTGAAACAAAGAAAAAACTTTTTTCTTTCTATCTAAAGTACAGAGATATCTTTCTTTATCCACATGAAATGAAGACGTTTCTTGTGACTTCCTAAAGATGTATGTTTGGTTTTATTTTTAAAAATATACCTTATGTCAGTGGTGGGATTCAGCTGGTTCACACCACTTTGGCAGAACCGGTAGCTAATCTTTTATTGCCCAGGCCCAGAATGGACTTCCGGAAGCAGCATCCACACAGAGAACTGGTTGTTCACATACTTGAATCCCACCACTGCCTTATGTTGAGAAACACATGCAAGGTATACTTCAGAATGAGATCACAGCATTGTCAGATATTATTCCTATGTAATATTTATTTCTGAAAACTATAATGTTTAGAAACTGCCTATTTAAATTGAATTTGTGCACATTTTTTTCCACTCTGAACTTTTAGAATTTGATTTTGAAAGGAAATGATTCATTTAAATGTGTTAAAGAAATGTATTGAAAGTGCCTGGTAAAAGTTACAGGCATAATTGAGGCCTGCATATCTGAGAGAGATCAGTCTGTGTATGGGAAATATAGGAATTGTACAGAGTCTTTATTTTGGAAAAAATAATAATTTCCCCCTTCCCATATATGTGCCATAATTTTAATATATAGATTAATTAAATAACAAAGTCATATGATCTTTAGAATACCTCTTTGAAATTTTTGCTAACATTTATCCAGAATACATGGAAACATATAGAGTAAGCCCTAAAATAGACTTACTATCCAGTCTATTATAATATTCACCCTTCCAAAAAAGATAGGTTCATGCCTGACCATCAAAAGTTTGCTCTATAGAGAAGTAATATCCTTACAGAGAAAGAGAGATTTGTAAATTCAGAATGATTAGCTAAATAAATAAATCACTGTCAAATGTAGAAATATGTGATATATCTGTCAGTTGTTGGGTAAGTTCTGAAAGACTGCTGGATGCATAGGCAGATGAAACATCCTGTGTTATCTATACCACCTGTTCAGTTGATTTGTATTAGATGTCTTCATTGGATGATTGAATAGTTGTTCTCCAGAGCTTGGGAAGGAATCATTCTATTCCAGAAGTATGGGACTAATGTAAACCAATGAATGGGTGGGCTGGAACATTTTGTTGATTGTGATGGGAGATGGGAGCAGGTTACTCTTGTGGGAAAGAGTTTGGTTTCTTACAGTGCCCCCTTGTGGCTTTCTTCTCATCCAGGTTCGAGGTTTCACAACAGTCCTGGCTGTTGCTCTTCAATGCCAAGTTGTATTCAATAAATTTATCCACATTCATGATTTCAAGGTAGGTAAAAAGAGTCAACTTTATGGAAACCTGATTGGTCATTGAGGATGGAGTTCTTGAATCAGAAATTGCCCACATGGATTTCAGGTCTGATGCCAGCCATAATCTCAGCAGGGTGGTGAAATAGCCATTATTATTTCAAAAGATCTTGTTATGATTTGAGGTATTGCATCATTATCAAGCTCACATGGCTGTCAGACACAGGAAGTGAGAATTCTGCACTTTTTGATCCCAGGACAAATGTTCAGATGCTGAAGTGTTATTCAGGTGCCTCAAGTGGTTTTAGTATGAAGAAGTTAATCCCTGCATTGAAACAGCTCTTTGCTTTGGGAATCTTCATGGACTTGCAATGTCTGCTCATGCATTAAGTGGGAACTATGACCAAAAGGATCTTTGCACTGGTCAATCTAGTGCTACTTTTACAACAAAATTTCTGAAATGAGAGGTTTGATTTACAGTCACACTTACCCTACTCACGTCTCAATTTTCTCAAAAACAAACACAAAAACTCAATAAAAATTAATAAAATGTAGTTGAATGAAATTATATTTTTCTGTCAACCTTGTTTGTAAAGATATATGTTAATAATGTATATTTTTGGAGAAAGCTGCAGGTTAAATCTATATGCTACTAAAATTCTTATTGTGTTTATCTGTCTGTCTGTTTTTACCATTGTGTTAGCCCAAGCAGTAGATTATGCTGCAACAATTTTAAATTAAGATACCTAAAATCTGCTAACTTAAATAATGTGTTTTTTAAAAAAATCTGGGACACATTATTCCTGTGGAACTAAAATTTCCAGGATATTCTGACTAGTTTTATTCACAAAGTTGTGCCTGCTATTATCCCTACAGTTACAGTCATATGATTGTGATTTCCAGCAGCTTCCCACAAGTAAATTCAATGGGGACTCCAGCAGGAAGTCAAAAATCAATCCCATTCCCACTGTTTTTCTGCCCACCTGTGGTTATTTTCAAAGCAAAGTAATAGCAAGACTGTTCAAAAGAATTTAATGTTCATTGTACTAACGTCAGACAAAGCACATCCTTTCATTGAAAGGATGACTTAAGTCTTAAATTGTTATTTGACTTTTGGATGATGGGTACATTTTTTTCCACAAATAGCAACATTCTTCTGACATTTAAATACATAGAAATAGTGATGTTGAACCTTGAAGCACCATATAAATGGGACAATATTTTTTCTGTTTTTCCTAGTTTGGGTTTTATTGGGTGGTATTATTATTATTATTGTTGTTATTATTATTATTATTATTATTATTATTATTATTAGTAGTAGTAGTAGTAGTAGTAGTAGTAGTAGTAGTAATCATCGCACAGTCAGCCAGATGTTCAGACTGTATTTGGCATTTTTTTGTCTACCTATCGAGTCCTTCCCAAGGACCTGGGATAGGCAGATGTGGATGTTTGATGTTGTTACAGATATCATCACAGGATGGAAGCTGTTCCTAGTAAGGCCATCTTTTGCAATTGATTGATGGCAAATTTGTCAATGCCAATGGTGTTCAAGTGATGCTCCAGTTGTTTTGGGATTGCACTCAAAGCACCTATTACTATTGGTACTACCCTTGCTTGCCTTTGCCACTATTATTATTATTAGTAGTAGTAGTAGTAGTAGTAGTAGCTATACATGATATATTTATTGATGGTGTGTAAGCTACCCATAGTTTGATATTAAGGTAGGAAGCTATACAAATGTTTTAAATAAATAAAGATAAATCAAAACATGGCAAACTTAAATTGCAGTATAATACCATGGAGAGATTTGAGATCTCCATTATTTTAAAACTGTGAAACAATTTTGTATTCAATAATATACATCCTTCTATTATTGAGACTCAAAATAAAAAAAATATCAGGATTTTTTTTCTCTATAGATCTAATCATCTAAAACAATATTGTCCTAAGGGATTCAGAAAAACCTCCAATCCACAGTGGCTGTTCTGTGCTGCCTATAGAGACTGACTTGTTAACAATTTTGGGGGAAATCACAAGGACAATTCAGTAGAAAAAGTCACCTAATAAATGCTGACAATAAAATCTCACTAACAAATTTAAAAATCTGCATGGATGAAGATGGTAATTTTTTTATTGAATAAGTTATTTCTACTTTTCATCTCTTCATTATACATCATAGGCTTTCTTTCCCTTTATATGAAATTGTATTTTCAGATAAACAAGTAAGCACATTATAATGTCAGACATTATTTATTTCATCATTATTGTTTAGGCAATGTTACTTAGTAGATAAAAATAAACAGCACTAAAATGTAGTAACATATTAAGATGATCTACCACTATACATAAAAAATCACTAACTTAAATAAATTGATTCTCTAAAGTTAAAGTATGCGACTGAGGATTTTCTCCAAATGCAAATTCCTTTAAACTCGAAATTATATTGACTATCCAGTTTGATTTTCAAATGCAATTTAAGTTGTTTAACAGAACGTATTACTTTTAAACCCTTTGCTTACATAAATTTCGGTTCAAAGTGATTTCAATCATATTACACATTGTTAATTTGGTCATTGAAATACTTTAAATTTTATAAGCAATTTTTAAAAAGACTCTGATTTCTTTATCATAAAGTAAGAATGAGTAATGCAGGACATCAAATATTTGTTTGAGGAATGCCAAAGAGTAAATCCTTAAATCAATTCAAAAGCCATTTACAAAAAAAAAGGTAAAATTATGGGTTTTAAAATCTATTCTTAGAAAGAATGAAAGAAAATCCTCTCCATACATATTCTCTGAACATGTTGACAGTTATCCCCCCCCCCATGGACAGGAAAGCGTTTCACTAGGAATGATAGTATAATAGACTTTATATTTGAAAACTGTCAAGAGGAATTGACTCACCATTTCTGATTGCTTCATCTTATTTTATTTTTTTAAATGATTTTTTTAAAATGAAAAATGTTTCTGTTCCACATATTTGTACCTTGTACCCTGAATGTTTATCAGCAAACCAAAATGGAGGGAACTCTAACTATCAATAATATGTTTAGTAAATATCAAGAGATATTCAGGACAGAAAGAAAAGAGATTATACCCAATATTGTCTAACACTGCCACAGTTGAACATATCAGGATTCAAATAAAATAGTTAGTAATTACTGTCTTAAAGATAACTGCCTGATTAAACACTTTTCTTTCCCAAGATTTTAAATTTCCATTTCATTTATTGTGATAGGAAGGGCTGACACTTATGAAAAATGTAGTTTCTTAAATACCTATTAAAAATGAACAAAACTGTCATTTATATCTGATTTTAAGACAAAATATAGCAATAAACCTGATTGCTGCTGAATAACATTGACATAACTGACTTGTAAAACAAGATAATTGACTGATGAAATTATTTAAATTGAATAGCTGAAATGTTAATGTGTTCACTGATGATTTTTTAGTTACTCTAAAAATCTCTCTAAACTGTTCTGAATGGAAAATCTTTAACAATTGTTTATTTTCTTCTAGGAAAGTCATGATGAAAAATGGATAATAACACATCAGGGTTTCTCCTTTTGGAATTTTCAACAATTTGGGAACTACAGACTATGTACATAACTTTATTACTAATACTGTACATAATGACAGTAACAGGAAACTTTGTCATCATCATTGCTGTTATCGCTGATCACCACCTACACACCCCCATGTATTTCTTCCTGATGAACTTAGCTGTGCAAGACATTGGTTCTGTTTCTGACATTATTCCCAAAGCTGTTTTCAATTCTCTTACAAATACAAGGAAGATTTCATATGTTGGTTGTCTTGTTCAAGTCTACTTGATTCTATTCTTCTTCGGCTCGGATGTTGCCCTTCTTACAGTTATGGCATATGATCGGTATGTTGCTATTTGCAATCCTTTGCAATATGAAATAATAATGAACAGGAAAGCTTGTGCCAAAATGATTGGAAGTGTTTGGACTGCTTGCCTTCTCAATGCTGCATTGCACACTGTTGAAATGTTTACTACTCCTTTCTGCTCTAATATTATCAACCAATTCTATTGTGAAATCCCATATATACTAAAGATTACTTGCTCTGATTCATATATAAGTGAAATTGGAGTTATAATGTTCAGTGTTTCATTAACATTTGGTTGTTTTGTCTTCATTATTTCTACATATGTGCTGATTCTGGCTGCTGTTCTCAGAATCCCTTCTGTACAAGGGAGGAAAAAGGCCTTCTCCACTTGCCTACCACACCTCACTGTTTTCTCCATATTTATGTTTACTGGTTCCTTTGCTTATCTGAGACAGATATCTGACCATCCATCCCATATTGATTTCATAATTACAATAATGTATTCCATTATTCCACCCATGATGAATCCTTTAATCTACAGCATGAGAAACAAGGAAATCAAAGTTGCTCTTTCAAGACTTTCTGGTCAGAGGTCATTTCATTTTAAAGAAGTATGACTTGTGTAACTATTTTTGTATTTTAACAGAGAAGCAAAATATATACATTTGATATAAAACTTATAAAACCACCTCCTGATTGCAGACACTTAGCTTAGGATAGAAAGTTTATTTTATTGATTATGAGATTGATCTCATATAAGTTAAGACTGATGATGCTATGGTCCATTGAGCCAATACTGACCCCTGGTGAGTATGGGACCATTCCCTGCAGTTCTCTTGGCAATAATTTTGAAAGTGACTTGTCAATACTTTCTTTCATTTCCCCATCTCATATGAACAGTTTCCTTCAAGTCCTGCATTTAGATCTTGTATGCCTCTAGCACATTTATAAATGTGACCCATAATAAATGGGAAATTTATATTTTTGTTTGTTGTTTCCTTGGCTCTGTTCTCAATTCTGATCACAATTTTGGAGAATGAGCTAGCTGCTGTTTCTCAGCAAAATTGATTGATTGATTATGTGCCATTAAATCTTTTTTCAACTCCTAGAATCCATAAAGATAGCTTTTCTCTATGATGATTTATCCCTAATTTGGTATTTCAAGTGTTCCAAAATCCATCCACCTTGCTGCGGCTCATCCTCTTCTTTTTTCCCCCACCTTTACCAACATTATAGCTTTCCCCAGAGAGTTGGGTCTTCTCATAACATGTCCATAATAAGTTAATTTGAGCCTGGTCATTAAATTAATTGATTGTATTCCATCCTTCCTTTGGTGGCCTATGACCATAATAAAGAATTGATTGATTTTGGTGGCAATTAGTACTAGTTCTATATTCAATGTTGCTTAATGTTCAAATGCACAAAAATATATATGAACAATTGTAAATGTTTCAATTTTGTATAAATTTATCATGGTTTGTTTTTTGATTGCAATGAAAGTAATCATCCTGTTTTCAATCTATCTTTAGGAATTTCAGCTCTACATCTCTTTATGCTTTGTAAACATTTAAAACAAATACTAACAAGTAGGTATTAGCTCTTTGATTTAAAAAAAGTTAATTGAGGAACCCATGTTCCTCATGGAAACAATACATTCAGAAATCATATAGTCTATATGATTTCTGAATATATTTAAAATCATTCAAAGGGGATGTGTGGTCCCTACACACAATTCATTTTCCCCTACTAATCATTTCCTGGATAGAAAAGAATAAAGAGATGCTGCAATAATATTTATTCAGGCAGTGCATTGTGTGCATTACTTTTCCAGGCCTATTCAGAAGTACTTCCACTATTTTAATATGATTTCATATTTTCTTATTTATATATATATGGAAGTCATTGTAGACAATGGGTTCATGGATTTCCCAGAACTAAAATTTTATATAACCACACAATCACAAATTATCTTTAAATAATTAGGTGGGGTAAGGAGAAACATATCAGAAACTAAATATTTTTCATAGAATGAGTGAACAGATATTAAATAGGTTACAAGAATATGTGTGCTACCATCATTCTAGCTCTTTAATTTGATGTGAACAAACATGGCAGGATAATTTCTGATGAATTTGGGCTACAAATGTAGCCAAATTGTAATCTAAAAGAAGAACAATCCCACACAAAAATTCCATTCCAAAGTGAGGAAAAATAGGAAACAATATTATAGAATCATTACAATCATCATCATCATCTTCATCTCTTCATCATCTTCATCATCGTCATCATCATCATCATCATCATCATCATCATCATCATCATCATCATCATCCCTGAAATAATAATGATGATGTTCCCACTGAATTTTTAGGATCAATTTTCCTACTGTATCACAATCATTCCCCTGAAAAGAATTTTAGGGTTTTAAAACATGAAATAAACAAAATTAAACAGTAAATAAACAAAAGAGTTACACTTTTCACAAAACATTGAGATCTTTATTGCATTCCTTCATTCCTTAAATGTATAGAACTAAGTTCATGATATCATATTAAAAATAAATACAAATCTCTGTAAAATTCTAAATATATTAATATTTATATTGCCACTACATTTCATTGCTCCCAAATGCCCATAATTATGTAAAGGCAAAGAAAAGTAAATATATTTTGCTTGTAAGTGATGTGATATCAGGAGCCATGCAGAACTCAACATACCCCCCCCCCATTTCCATTTTGCATACACATGAAGTCCCTGTGTGATGTCATCCATTGACATGGGATTAAATGTCATCTATATGCTGATTGTTCTCAGCTGTTTTTTTTATTAAAAGTTTTATAAAGTTTACAATATAAATCCCCTCCCCCCTACAACCCCCCTCCCCCCACTTCCCAGAGCTGTTCACAGGGTTACAAATAATAATCATAATCTAAATAACATAAACCAACTAATTATATAACCAAATCTATAACACACTTTAACTCATTTTTTAAAATAAATTTAAATAAGTTAAAATTAAAATTAAATACATTATTAAAAGAAGAAAAAACAAACAAACTAGTAAACAACACTACTGGTCAAAATTATAATAAAATCATACAAGCTATTATGCAAACACTTAATAAAATAATAACAATAAAAATATTTTAAAATTTTACCCAAAAGCCAAATGGAACTTTTCGATCCCATATTTTTTTTGAATATAATCTATCCATCTTCTCCATACCGAAATATAACTTTCATATGACTGATCCTTCAAATAAGCAGAAATCTTAGCCATTTCCGCTAAATTTGACACTTTAATCGACCATTCTTCTACAGTAGGCAAACCATCCATCTTCCAATATTGAGCTACCAATAATCTTGCAGCTGTTATAAGATTCAACATCAGATTCATTTCTTTGGCATCCAAATTTCCCATAATACCTAACAAAAATAACTGCGATGTAAACTTTATCTTCTTCTTAAAGATATTTTGAATATTCCACCAAATCTTGATCCAAAATGCCTTTATATCCCTACACGTCCACCAAATATGGAAGTAGGTTGCATCTAAACTTCCACATCTCCAACATTTGGGCTGTAAGTTGGGATGCATGTGTGACAATTTTTGAGGATCCAAATGCCATCTATAAAACATCTTATAAAAATTTTCTCTTAAATTTTGTGCTTGAGTAAATTTTACATTTCTTACCCAAATTGTCTCCCATGTATCCAATGGAATCACTTCCTGAATATTCTGCGCCCACTTTATCATACAATCTTTAACTAACTTCGTTTAAGAATCCAATTCAATCAAAACATTATAAATTCTCTTTATGTGAGCTCCCGATGAGTCTTTAATCTGTTTAATCAAGTTCACATCCTCCAAAGTAATACCAACCTTCTGGTCTAGATTCCACCTCATTAGCAATTGGTTATAATAAAACCAAGAATATACAATATTTTCTTGTTTCAAATCTGCTAAGGATTTAATTTGCCAATCCTTTCCTACCAGGCTAAGTAATTCCCTATAAGTAATATTATTCAAATTAACTCCTCTAGATACCCCTTCTATCACCTATCCTGGAATCGCCCAAATGGGAATTTTATAATTTAATCTATAATAATATTTCTTCCATACTCATAATAGAGCACTTCTTAAAATATGAGCTTTAAAAACTTGATCTACTTTTTTATTATAAATTAAATAAGCATACCAACCATATAATAAATCCCATCCCTCAAGTAAAAGTATATCTTTATTAGTTAAGTTAAGCCAATCACTAATAAATGTTAAAGCCACCGCATCATAATATAATTTTAAATTTGGTACCTTAAGTCCTCCTCTTTCCCGTGCATCTTGTATAATTTTAAACTTGACTCTTAGTTTTTTTAGCAGCCCAGATAAATGTATTGATCCCCTTCTGCCAAATATCCAAATTAGCATCTTTTTTCAAAATAGGTATCATTTGAAACAAGAAAAAGAATTGTGGAAGAATATTCATTTTTACTGCTGAGATTCTCCCCAGCAGCGATAATTGTAACTTTTTTCCAATCACTTAAATCCTTTTGTACCTTTACCCACAATGTCTCATAATTATTTTTATACAATGTAACATTAGATGCTGTAATATAAACTCCCAAATATTTTACCTTTTTTACTATTTCAAAACCTGTCAATTTAACTAAGTCATCTTGATCCTTCATAGACATGTTTTTCGATAGTATTTTAGTCTCTTTATTATTTACCTTAAAACCAGAAACTTTCCCATATTGAGCAATAATTTCTACCAAGTCAGTCACCGAGTCTATTGGCTGAGTTAATGTCAGCACCAGATCATCAGCAAAAGCTCTTAACCTATAGTCATTCTTATTCACTTTTATTCCTTTTATTATAGGTGATTCACGAATTTTAATTAATAAAATCTCCATTGTTAACACAAATAACAATGGAGATAACGGACATCCTTGTCTTGTACCCTTTTCAATTTTAAATGCATCTGTTAAACCTCCATTAACTATGATCTGTGCTGATTGTTGTTGATAAATAGACTTAAGAGCAAACAAATTTTTTTCCACAAAATTCATTTTCTCTACAACTCGTAGTAGGAACCCCCAATCTAATTGATCAAATGCTTTTTCAGCATCTAAAAATATGAAAGCCGCAGGGATCTGGTTATTCTTATCCAAATACTCAATTAAGCTGACAATTTGTCTTACATTATATTTCATATATATCTTCCAGTTATAAATCCAGATTGATCACTATGAATCAATTGCCTCAATAATTGCATTAATCTATTTGCCAGTATTTTAGAAAATATTTTATAATCTGTATTCAATAAAGATATAGGTCTATAATTCTTAGGTTAAGTCCTGACCCTCTTTTGGAATCAGTGATATAAAAGCAGTTCTCCAAGATGGAGGTACTTCTGCACCCTGCACCAAATAGCTCGGGCTATTTGTTGATATTCTGACTTAGTTATGTGCCCCTCTTTCCACTTTCTATACTTGTCCTTTTTATCTTTCAATTTATCAGAGAGTTCTTTATGCAGCCATGCTGGTTTCTTTTGAGAGCTGTTATTTTTACTCTTTGTTGGTATTGTGCTAGACTGGGCTTTTATTATTTCACTTT